CCTGTCTTCCCCATGTGATGTTTTTGTGTAATGTATGTATGGTCGGAGGGTAAGATGGCGCCGCCATTGCGTGCAATAGGTCGGCAGCATTAACATGAAATTTCCCCTTGTGGGACTAATAAAGGTATCTTATCTTAAATCAATCAAATCATAAACAGCTGTCCTGCTTGGTAGAGCAAACCAACAGCTAAAGAAATATTGAGGTTATTTATTTTTGTTGTTCACATCATGGTTAGGCAGAACAATTTAGAGTAGGTTCTTCTAAGAAGCCTGACAGCTACATATGAAAGGCTGAACCGAGTAACTTCCCTGGGCACAGAAAACAAACTCAGTTAGTGGGAAATGAACTCAGATTGGTTTTTTTCCTCACTACAGGCAGACCACATCTACATTTTTGGACTGACACTGCTCATTTTGTACCCGTGCTGTGATCAAACTCAAATGTCACCACATCTCACACTGAGCTAAGGAGGCAAACAAGTCATCTTCACTTTGAGTGAAGTCAAATTTTATGGTTTTGTTTCGGTGTTGAATGCGTGAATGTTGCCACATCTGAGCCGTCAACAATCATCTCCCTCTGACAGTTATTCCCATATCATCTAAATGCAATATAACACCCTGGCCGAGCAGAGTGATTGCTGCTTTATTTAGAAACACTCCACTTTTTCCTGCATTGTGCCTGGTGAGTTAATTTCATGAGGAAGTGCTCGTCTGCTCCAACTAAAAAAAAAAAAAAAAATCCCTACTGACATGGAGGTAAGTGTTGTGGTCAATGCGATTTAAAGCCTTCAGGGAGACTGATTTTAAAAGCTTTATATTTTATTTATAATCTCTAATTGAGGAAGGTAGCTCTCTGTGTGCTTGTGAGATTTGTGATGTCTAATCCAAGTCCGGCCAGATGCCACAGAAAGTGATGAAGTTTATAACACTCGTGCTTGTTTGTCGAAAGCCCCTGATTATCAGCACAGTCTAATTAACTGACTGTTCAACCAGAGGCTGTTTATTAAACACATCATAGGTCAATCTGGTTATAAACTTTTGCTACTGAATCGCAGAAGGAAGAGAGTTATAGTGCCGTAAAGCCTGATGCTCAGTCACTGCAGTATTGAGCCTTTAAAAAGCGTTTGCTCTAGTTAATGTATATTTGTGTAGCAACAGAAAAATGCATCTGGTCAGCAACTAGTATTTTTTTTGTTTTTATGGGTTTTAAAAAAAAATATGTTACATGTTCAGAAAATTTGACTCACATCTTGTTAGCTTTTAACTCAGGTTTTCTTTTCCTGCTATAAGTTCTTTCCATTAGAAAAGATCCAGGATCACTCTCAATATACCAAATACATCACCTGTTGTTTGTGTAACGTTTCTAATTTGACTGCTGGCTTGTTGCTGACATTAAGAATGCACATCAGATGGCAGGCTAGACTCACATGAATAAATAATTGGGCATTCGTGTGTAGAATATATATTTTTTAAAAAGGATCAAAGTCTTATTTAAACTGTCAGTGCAATCGATTACAGTGGATTAGGAAGACATTTAGTCCTCAGATTATACCCATGTTTGTTTGGATTGTAAGCAGTTAATGTTGTGATCAGCTGAATGTTAAACCCTTGCTGATATGACTGCTGGCATTAACCTTCAGGCTTATACATTCACACACACATGCATAAACACACGACTGATGGATTTTTTCAATTAGTTCTTGACTAAAAGCCCCACAGTGAATCTTGTGTTTATAAAGATCGTAATGTTTCATTTTCTATCTAATATGGAGAGGTGTCCATTTAACTTAATGAGCTTTTCAGTAGCTGCAGTTTGTATTGCTTTATGTTTATTTGTAACAATACCTTTTTAGCTATCCTTTCTATTACAAAGCACTGATTTTCCACACATTCTCAATCTATCTTAATGCATACTCCTATTTGCACAGTATACTCTTCATTTTGGAGTGCCTGCACTGTGAAATTCACCCAAACCAACAACTACATTTCTGTTCTATTACATTCTGATGGGGTGCTATGTGTGCTTCTCTTTTTCAATCATAATATACAATGCCTCTGGCGCTACTTTAGATATAATTGAGAAAGAAGATGAAGCATGCACTTCCCAGCAACCCAGAGTGATATAAGGACAGCAGAGGACTGTTGCTGCAGCCATTGCATCCCCATTATCTGCGATGCTGATGACAGGTTTACGGTAGAAACCTACAGTCTGTTTTGGATAGTGTTTTCGAAAAGAAAAGCCCCTTCCTCGCTTATTATTATATACAAACGTGCCATTATTCACTGTATTTAAACATTTTCCTTCATTCTTCAGTTTCTTGCTTTAATGCCAACTCCACTTCACTTGATTAGTCATTATTTTATTGAAAACTGATGCCGCAAAACTGAAAAAGTATTTGACATTCTTTCTGTTTTTTATGCTTTTTGACTTTATTTCGTGCTGATCTCACAGAGATTCAAAGTTCTTTCTGAATCTGGTTGTTGTTTTTTTAAGCTGAATGACTCCAGAACTGAAATAATCATAATTACACTTTCCTCCAACAGAAATAGTATTGAACTCTCTTCTAGTCTGAGCTTTGTGTTTGCAAAGAGGCTCAAAACCAAAAAGACTCTGAGCTCTTGTTTAATATACAGACGTCTAATATCATTCAATTCTGTTTAATTCTTCTTAGACACATGTAAAAAATTCAGCCATTCCTGTCACAGTCCGATTTAGAATAGGTCATCCATCCTCTTATTTGTTTCAGACTTGATTACCATAGTGGACTTTATTCAGGCTTCAGCATACACAGAATGCATGTCATTCAAAATGTCGCTACCAGAGTTTTAACACAAAGAAAAAAGAGTGACCATCAATGGCCTTCAATGACCACAAAAATTTCAGCACTTGTTGCGAAATTTCATCTTGAAAATTGAGACAATGTCATAAATTGCAGGGACAAGGTAAAAAACTTGGGCGTGTGGTTTGACGTGGTGCTCTCCTTCAAGTCTCATGTAAAAGAGATAACAAAGACCACCTTTTATGATTTGAGGAACATAGCCAAAATCAGACAGGTTTTGTCAAGCGACACTGCAGAGGTTCTTGTCCATGAATGCTCTTCTTTCTGGGCTACCAAAGAAAATTTTAGAGGTCTACAGATGGTGCAAAATGCAGCTGCTCGCATTATAACAAGAACCGGGAAATACATTACCCCTGTACTGAGATCTCTTCATTGGCTACCTTGTCAGGTTCGAGCAGATTTTAAGGTCCTGCTGCTCACCTACAAGGCTTCAAATGGATTGGCACCTTCATACCTCTCCGACCTTTTACACCTTTGCGTTCCATCCTGTGCTCTACGATCTCAGCACTCTGGCCTTCTAAAGGTTCCTAGAGACAGAAAAAAGACAATTGGAGAGCGTGCTTTTTCTTTTCGTGCCCCGTTTCTGTGGAACAGCCTCCCTCAAGATATTAGGCAGGCATGCTCTGTAGAGGTTTTTTAAACTAAGTTGAAGACACATTTGTTCACCCTATCTTACATGTCTTAACTCTATGCCTTCTAGTTTTTAAATTCTTACTGTTTTTAACGTGTATTGTGTTTTTACTTGTATCACTTTTATTTATTTATCTTTTTAGTTTCAAATAGCTGTACAGTACTTTGTAATAAATAAAGTTATTATTATTATGATTAACTGTTAGTTTTAGAATTGATTTTAAGATTTTATTGCTGGTTTCTAAAGCCCTACACACTCTGGTGCCTGCCTAGATCAATGAGATGCTGACTCCATATGACATTATTGCTGCTTGAGGTCTTTTGGCATGGCTTTGTTTCTGGGGTTTTTAGTCACTAAAGCTGAGCCTTTGTAGTCAAGACTACTGAATTCCATAGCTGAGGACTTTAGGCGTAGAAATTCTTTAACCTCTTTTAAAAAAAAAATTTAAAACACATTTTTGTCATGCTGCACCGTTTGCACTCATGACATGGGATTAACTCTAGGATCTTCAGAGAGCAGATTTCAAGTTACTTAAAGTTACGGAAAGTCATAGCAAAAGGAGCAAAGCAGCCCAACATTCAAAATCAGAATATTTTATTAATCCCGGAGGACATTATGTTGTCACAGTCGCTCCATGACACTAAGAACAGTACCTAACTAAGTTAAACAAAATAATACAAAATATAGCAAAAAAGCTCTAATTACAAATCTCCCAGTATATTACACTACTATACTATTATATGCTATTATACTAAAATTAAATGTATACAGTTGACACTGAGGTGCCCCTCTTATCATTTTGACTTTTTATTATCGCTGTAGAGGATGCGATATTAATGGTGTGCAACGATTGCAGTGTGTACTTGGGCTTTAGATAGAGGAACTGTACAGAGAGATGACCTCAGGCAGGAATGATTTCCTGTGTCATTCAGTGGTGCATTTGACTAATCTCAGTCTCTCACTGACTGTGCTCCTGTGACTGGCCAGTACGTCATGGAGTGGGTTGGAGGTATTGTCCAGCATTGTCCTTATCAAGGACAACATCCGCTTCTCTGACGCCAGCTCCACCCCCACAGTGTTACTGGCCAGTAACTGATCGGTTTATTGAGTCTGTTGGCATCTGCGATCCTCAACCTGCTGCCCCAACATGAAACAGCATAAAGTACGGCACTCGCCACAACACAACTCATAGAAAATCCTGACCATTGTCATCCAAACAGTTCAACTATGAAAATCTGGAGATCATCTAGGTGTGTTCTGACAAAATTCAGATTCCTCCTGCTCCTGACAAATGTAAAGCAAATCCATGTTTCTAAAAATGGTGATGATTTGATTGAGCAGGGGTGGGAGTGATCAGACCTGTGTGCCCACTTTAGCTGCCAAGGGGTGTAAATTCAGTTTACACAGGTCCAGTTGGTATTGTGTAACTTTATTGCTATTTCACAATACTGTAACTTATCAAATATGTAGAATGATGGACAAATGGATCGTCTGACTCATTTTCTTGTCTCCTCTCTTCACATCTGCAGGGAGATAGAGGAAGAGCTGGAGGTGGTGTGGGAGGCAGCAACAAGGGAGAACCAACAGATGAGGGAGACTCTTTTGGATTCCAAACTCACTGGGGACCTCCACAGTTGGCCTGCTCATGCTCCAGATGAGATCACTACATCCTCCCAGCAGCAGCAGCACAAGCATGGGCTGGATTTCTATTGCTGAAATACCTAGAGCAATAACCTGCAGGTGTGCCTGTCTGCTCAAAATAGACTGCTCAGATAACTGTCAACTTGTTATAGTCATCATGTCAGCCTGCAGACATCCAGCAGCTTGCCTTTGTGTCAGTTTGTTGTTCTATCTGAGTGATACCTGAAATCTGTCTGGTGGATGGAAATATTTGCAATACATGGACAGAAACAGTATTCACTTAACACAGTCAAGCTGGTGAGGAAGACTTGGCTTGGGCACGAGTAATGGAAAGAAAAGCATCTTGGATAACTTTTATTTCTAGAAGTGAATGACTTTTGTATATTTTAGCATATATTTGTATTTTTAAAATTATTATTCTCAGGGTTTTATAAAACATGCAAAGTATAGTGCCATACAGGATAGTGAAGAGTTGCAAGTGGCACTCTGTGGTTATTACTTTTTTTGTTGCTAAGCGAAGGTTGCCATCTGCTGGACAAATGTAGTAACAGCATTTTTTACTGTCATGTATTTGCGGGTCTACATTTTATACAATGAATGAGAAATGCTTTCCTGACACTGTTTGAATCCCACAAAATTAAAACGACAAAAGGGCACAATTTTTTTTCATGTAGAATTGTATATACGCGGTTATTTACAGACTTTTTACAGACCTTGTTTTGGACTTGCAGTTGTATTTTCATTACACAAACAGCAATGTACTGACCCTTCAGATACCATGTTAATAATAAAGAAGTTATTTCTTTTCTTTATGGCTGGACTTGAGTCATGGTAAGCCGCACTTGTCGTCTCACATCTATGTTTCATTTGATGGCATCCATCCATGAGCAGTCCTCAGGGATTATTCTATCCTGATCAGTCAATCCAAACTTAGAATAATCCTTTTTCCTTACTAGTTACTATGTTTTAAAAATCTGACTATTCTCCTGCCTAATATCAACAAAACTGGCAAATATAACAAGCTGATGATACATCCCTCCCAGAGTCACTTGTCTGTTGCAGAAGACTACATAGCTTTAAAGACCACGTAGCTCATAGATAAGGTAGCCTTATTACCAAACCTCCTCTGCAGATCGATCGATTAGTATAAAAGCGCCGCCTACAGACCAATCACCTCTCACGGAAGATGGCGTCGGCACGTGTGGAGCATCCTGCGGACTTGGTTGTGTGGGGGGTAAGAGGTCTTGAGAGACCGTGTTATCCCTTTGATTTTTGCACGAGCATGACCCTAAAAGCGCACTGAAGTCTTGTAGACAACCTGTTGTTTACAAAAGAAAGGCCGCAGTTTGAAGAATTTCTTTGTTGGAATATTGAAACTAAACATCCATTGCATAAGGAAAAATTGCAAGAATAAATATAAATAATGGAGTTGTTCCTGTAATTACACTTACTAGTGCTTTATTGCCAGGACAGCGGCTTCGAGAAGCTTCGAGTCGTGAACCAGCTTCCTGAAAGTTGGTGGTTTTAGTGAAGCCGCGTAATGACAAGACGTTTTGGGAGCGCTGAGCTTTGTATTTAGAACAGGCCCGGTGTTTTGGCACAACACCGAGCTGAGCGATGTAGATGGGGCCATACTCACACAAACCAAAAACTAAACACCAGCAATGTTCCCTCTAAGCTGCGCACGTGCGCACTGCTGGCACGGTCTCTGCGCACAGAAAATCTGCGTTGCGCACAAAAAAAATCTAACCTGAATTGAAATTAAAATTAATACTTTAATCAAAAAATGGTATGGCAACGTGGCATCTAGTTGTTAAGAAACGGGGGGAAGTTTTAGGAGTGACGGCGTGTTTTGAGATGTGAGAGATTTGACAGGTTTAGCGCAAATCTTGTGTAGTTAGTGTGTAGTGTAGTCAATATATTTGTTGTGTGTGTCAGAACAATGAGGCGACTGCTGAATGTTACAGGAGTTACAGGAGTGATACATCTCCTGTTGTCAGGCCTGCAGGTATCAGGCTTGTGATGTTCTCCTTTATAGTGGACAGAAATTATTTTTGGAGTGGCACAAATAATTTGTGTGGCATCAAATTTGATGCAGAACAGCTAATTGTTCTGTAAATAGTTTGAAATGTTTATTTAAAAATGCCTTGGCTGCATTTAAAAAAATGGCTGCAAAAAACTTTGTTGTTTGCCAAACTGAGTTACTTTTTTGAGGAGTAACTATATAATTATTTGCCCAACATTGGTCATTATATACTGTATTTTGCAGACAGAGTTACAGGACTCTCTCCCAGACCACAGACTCATACTCATAATACAAGTCAGAGCTTTATAAAAAAAATAAAATAAAATAAAAAGTTGTGTTTTCGAAATTGGAGTTAAAGTTATTTTTACTTCCAATAGTGTTAACATACTACACAGGCCAATGGCTAGATTATTATTATTATTATTATTTTTTTTTAACATTTTCATTGTAAATGGGCTAAAGCAGTTTAAAAGTAGTCTAACATAAATGTAAATGCTGTAATTTGATTATTTTTAATTAACTTGGATGGATTAGATGCTGGCGTGACCACAGTGCACACGTCTGAGGTCGCTCACAGTGGTCCACGGGATCGCTCAGGGAGTTTGTGTGTTCGCTCAGACACATGAAAAATTAGAGGGAACATTGAACACCAGTAAACGGAGAAATCTGGTGTACTACCTGTCATCGACCTGAGCAGCCCAGTTCTCTGGGTTTTGCTTACGTCGCCACGGAAGGGCTGCTTGCATTTAAATAAATAAAGAAATGAATAAATAAAGGGACAAAAATTAAATCAAAGAAAAGGAGAGCATGGCGTAATAACACGATGAAGAGCTGTTTGATTTGCATGTAGTATAAATAAAAATAGGTATTCACTTTTTTCTCTGCTTGGAAAATGTTTAAATAATTTCATTTGTGTCAGTTTGATTAATTTTGGTTGTTTAGGACATGACGAGGTAGTTAGTTTTATGTTTTCTGATCATGTTTCCATATCTACTAAAATTGTAATTAGGAAGTACAATTAATTGTTAGTTAGTTTAGATGTCTTTTTTTTTTTTTTCATTTTGTTTGTTTCCAGATTTGTTACTTGGACTGAGCTTATACACCTTTCCGTCTGTCTTTGTTTTTCTGCCTCTTTAGGGAGAAGAATTGGGACCTGTGTCTCTTGCCTCAGAAGATACAGATAATGACAACAGGGAAATACCCCATCCTTGCCCATTTGGAAAATACCGACGGAGCTTGGAGACCCTTATACCCTTCCGCTGTTCCTCACCAGAGTCAGTTTCATTGATGAAAGAAATTGCTAAATGTAACCTGTCTGCCAAATAAAAGTTACTTTCTTTGATATAGAATGTCTTCCATGTACAGTACTCATTTGCTTTTGCTTTTTTTGTCTTGTCCAGGTCCCACGCTGTAGATAATGCAGGTTTAATATCATCTTCAGTCTTTCTGTGGATGATCCCCAAAATGTGGGCCATGTTCAAGAATGGGCTGGATACATCCGACCTACACCTGTCTCCTTTTGATGTAGTAGACATTAGCGCAAAAAGGTCTCTCTTTGCAGATTCACATTTTTCGGTTGTTGTTTAAACACATCCCCATTTTATTAGCTTTTAGCCTATTGCTTGTTTTTGCATGCATCTGTTATTGCATAGCATCTTAATTTATTCCACCAGTCAATGGACAACTGCACTAAATCAAATGTAAACATTCAGTGACGCGGTGGTGGCTAAAAAGATTTGTTTACCAAAATGTGGGCTGGCAGACTGGACTTGTTTGAGAAGTCTGAAATGAGTCAAGCATAAAATTTGACCACTAAAACATTTTTATTTTTCTGTTCAGAGATGCAAGTAAATAACTGTCATTTGGGTTCCTTATTGAAACACACACAAAGTATTAAGTAAATATGAGGATTCGTGAATGACAATCATTGTATTGGGGGGGAGGGATCAAACTAAGAAGAGCAGCATACACAAAAGCACCCAACATTCTTAAAACCAATTACAAAGTCAGCTTATATATGCCCTGGAGTGCATCCATTGGCTATAGGACTCAGAACTCAGCCAATCGGATCAGATGGTGTGAAGGGCGGAACTAAGAGGTCGGGACCTGTCACTCAGCCAATAACTGAGTTTTATTTATGCTAGTGCTAGCAGATTTTTATTTGTTGTGACATCTTTGAGTTTTTCATTTGTTTTGTAAACCACTAACAATGATAAATTGCTTCCTTTTCTTTTGTCATGTGCCCTGTATATGTGTTGTCTCCTCCACCACCTCACCTTTTAATGCCGAGCCTTAGAAGTTAAAAAAGAACAATATCGCTAACATTAGAGTTACTAGTTGGAGTAAAACATCTGAAATTGTTGTTTTTGTTTTTAATATAAAGATATTTGGCATAGATTTACATTGAAAGGTTAAGCATGCTAGCTCTCCTCACAGCACCTACAGGTGGTGTTAATGCTGTAAAATCTCCAGTGAAAGCCGTGATTTCTTCCTAGAATATATTCTTTCCAGCTGCTTTGGAAATACACTGCTGATAAGAGATTTGTTGGCTTTATTATTTAACTGTCCTACGTCACCAACTGTCACTCATGAAACAAAACTACAATTTATTTAGTTACATTTGCTGAGTTTTGGGCAGCAGCTTTGGTGACATGCAGCAGGATGCAGCCAGCAGGTGGCAGCATATAGATACACTTGTAACCCCAATTCATCCATACGTTTGTTAACTGCATATCCAGCATAGGGTTGCTGGTGCCCTCGTAGCCCCACAACCTGTTTAAAATAAAGGTAATCTCGCTGTATATATAATTTCTTTTTTTAAAATACCAATTAATACTGAAACACAAATTTAAGTAATTTATTAGCACAGATCTTATCAGGGTCATCTGTATATACCTACACTATGAAATTTACCATGGTTTTTTTTTATTTTTTTTTTATGTCACACAAAAAAACAGGATTTAAATTACATTTAATAGCAGCAAAGAAAGACTTGGCAAATGCATAACATAATTAAACTATAACGTGCATAAGAAGTCATCTCATTCGAAATATGAAGAGAAACCCAGTAAAGTAAAGTACAGTGCTCATTGTTTTGTATCAGCAGACAGGAGAGATAAATGCATAGTTTTTGAACTTTGTAAATAGTTATGTTGTCTTTCCTGCACTGTTATCAGTTTCCATCTCTGCTGCTCAGTTACATCTCATACAAGCACACCAGAAAAGAGTGTAGTATCACAGTACAGACTTCGATATGGCTGTGTATATGGATAACTGTTATGAACATGCCCAGTGACTACTATGCAGCAGTTTTTTGGTTGTCCTTCTGTTCAGGAGTTTACTGTATTAGCAGCTGTCAGGAGTGATGAGAACAGAGAGTCTGGCCGTTGCTTCAGCACATCTGGATGATCTAATTCTGCCACCTGTCGAACAGAACACTTAGTGAGTTTAAGTTAAAGATTGTGTAATCATCTTTGATTTGTGTTCATTTGTGGGGGGTTTTTTTTTTGTTTTTTTTGGGGGGGGTTGGGTACCTGTCCATTGTCCATGACCAGAATACGATCTGCATGCATAACAGTGTTGATGCGATGCGCTATGGTGAGCATGGTGCAGTCTTTGAAGGCCTCTTTGATGGTGTTTTGAATGAGAGCATCTGTTTCTGAATCGATGGATGCTGTGGCTTCGTCTAAAAGAATAATCTGCCAAAAAATAACCAGCGTAATGGTGGTTAGAAAGAAGAAAACGGTGGATGGCAAAAGTGTCATAAAATACAAAAATGTTTACAGTGCTTATGTTATTATACACTTTGAATGCACACAATGGTAAATAATTAATGGAAATATTGGTAGAGGCATCACAAGCTAATGTGGCAGCAGTATCCCAGCCAATAAACTGTATTTGCAAATTAAATTTAGTATCATCAAGAAGGTGTTATGTGTGTACACACCTTGGAGTTACGGAGTAGAGCCCTAGCCATACACATCAGTTGTCTCTCACCAACAGAGAAGTTCTCTCCATTTTCCAACACTGGTGCCTGTAGCCTTTCTTCCAGCTTGGAGATCTGATGGAACAAAATCATATTTTGGTACTGCCATTCATACCCCTCAGGCTAACAGAAAGAGGATATTCGCAGCAAAAAAGCCCACAAAATAAACTACAAAGTCGTATAATCCTTGCCTAAGGCAAGGCAATCAAAAGTTTGAACTCTTGTATGGAAAGACTATCTGCAGTTAGACAGGAGCAGCATAAGGATTCTGGGACGGTGCCTCGGGCTGGAGAGCCAGTGAGATTGGCTTGCAACCCCCATGCTAGTCTTGGATTAAGGACTACTACAGTTCATTTTTGCCAGAAAGGAATTCCTGAGCAGAGATGGGCAGTAACACGTTACTTGGTAATTAGATTACCGTTACTTTCCCGTAGAAACGCTGCGTTACCTTGTTACTAAACCCGTGATTTTTTTTTTTTTTTTTTTTTTGGGCGAGAATGTCTCATGACAGTGACGTAAGCGAGTGCGACGTTCGTGACAACAGCTGTGTGCAGATCAACAATGGATCATATATCGAGTGTGGGAGAGAGTATGAGCGTGCAGCGTTTAAAGCGTGGAAGTACTGACCTTTAAGTTTGATTCCATAAAAAGTGACAAAAACATTAGTGTCTGTTGTGCGTGTTCAGCGAAAAAAAATAAAACTAAACTTCCAAGCAAGCACCGAGTGCGCTATGACGTAATGGGAAATTCACAGAGAAACTCGCGGATTCTTCAACTGACTGGTGCGGCACACCTGCACCAGGGAAAACCTCCGCCTACGCCACTCCTGCTTTACAGGTGAAAATAGAGCAACAGGACTGCTAGTCTTTGACTTTATTTATTTTCTGCTGTGTTTTACTTGCATCTATTTGAAAGAGTGAGTGTTAACACAAAAAAATATTTTATTTTATGTGCTGGAATGTGCAGAAAATAGGTTTAAATGTTAAACTAATTTCTTCCAGTCAGAGAATGTTGCATATAATACAATTTTTGCTTGATGCATAAAGTTAAAAGATTAAAACTGATAAAACAAGTTTAAAAAATTTACTTTTCCATTTGATTACATTTTGTATGATGGATTATGCAGAAATTAGATTTGGGCTGAAAGAGCTATTGCTTTATTACCTATTCAGGTTGTAAATAGTGTTTTTTAAAAAGTAGCTAAGTAATTAATAACTTTTGAAAATAAGTAATCAATAAAGTAACGGGATTACTTTTTCGGGAAGTAATCAGTAATTAGTTACTGATTACTTATTTCAAGTAACTTGACCAACACTGTTCCTGAGTGTATTCTGTGATAAACATTTAGACATGCCAGAACCTTATCAAACTTGTTGTAATAAAAATCTTTAGGGTTTATTACTTCCAGGTTCACGGCATGAGCGCAACATTAGTCAGCATTACTGGTGCCATTAATAACTGCTAGAGAGTTGTTTTCCTCTGCGGAAAAACATGTGCCTGGACAGATGGTACTATAATTGTACACAGAGGAAGGTGAACTAAATGTAGGGCACTGGAGGAAAAAGTCCAAATTCCAAATTTTCAATGCAAAGATAAAGTAAATATGCAGAGCTCGTCAGAGAGTAAACAATACTGGCCAGTGGCAGAAAAATTGTTAAAAATCTAATAACTGATAGCTAATTAAAGGAAACAAAGAACAGAAGTAAAACTAAATAAACGTCATGAACAACATGAACATAGGATGTGTCAAAAAATGAACATAAAATATATGTTTGGCTCTAGGGCTATTCCATTTTCTTTTAGGGCTATATCAGACGTGTCACAGAGACTGCAGTCTTACGCGTTGTGGGTTTTAGTTTTTGTCAAAGCAAAATCTTGGATAAAAGCAAGTGGCAAAACAAACAATAAGACTATACAATACTGATAACATACTGAGTCCTTTATATAGGTCTTCTCCAGTGCTGCCCAAATCTCCTCATCAGTGTAGTTATTAAACGGGTCTAGGTTGTACCTGTAGGAAAAACAGCTCTTTATCTAGTGACTGACATGCAGGAGTAAAATCAGTGTGTGATTCTGTACTTCTGGTTCACTACCTTACTGTACCGATGAACAGCACAGGGTCCTGAGGGATGATGGACAACTTGCTGCGCAAATCCTGCAGGCCAATGGACATAATATCAACTCCGTCTATCTTTATGGTTCCTGCTGCAGGCTCTACTAGTCTGAATAGAGCTACTCCTAAAGAGGATTTCCCTACAGACACAAAGCACAGAGCAGAGTAGCTGAATATTACACTATAGCTGATTAAAATTGTAATCTGCACTATGGAATAATTAGGAATTCACTGCTATAATAATTACAACCCTGTTTCCCCAAAAAAGGAAACTGTGCAAAATGCAAATAAAGACAGATTTAATTTAAAACATGAATGTTTAAAGTTATACATTTTAATGGATAGACAACAAATTATCTTTCATCTTAATCAGTGACTGGGAATAAGGAGACCATTCTGAGTCCAGTTTCAACCAAGGTCAGTAAGCACTTTGATCTTCTATCAGTGGACGCACTAACGAACTCACTCAAAGAACCATGGGTCTAAACTGGTCTTCCTACAGTCCAGATTTGTCACCTATTAGCAAGTTACAAAACAGGAAATATGACAGAGACGGCTTCAAACTTAATTATTTAAATATTTCTAATTAACATATCTTTTTTTTTCTCCAAAAATCCCACTGAATAAAAATTAAGAAAACGTAATAGCTCCTAAATTCGGGGCCTTACCAGAGCCAG